CTGTAGGCCTTGACACCTGACTTGTGTCCAGCCTTTCCCAGCTGTGTGCTGATCTGTCTGGCATCCCTTCACAGGTCTCCTGATGACGGGCTGTGGCCCTGCCCTGCATTTGCCATGCAGCACGTTGTGAGTGCGCACTGCTTACTGGTGCGGAGAGGCCTCCTTGGAAGGGACTTTGTTATAGCCAGGACTCTCTGCAGACCAGGCTCCAGCCAACCTGGGGAGAAACACCCTGAGGAGACAGTTCTGTATCATCGTCTCCCAGCTCTGGGGAGAACCCTGGGGCGGAGCATTCAGCAGCGAGCTGCCTTGACAGCCAAGACTTGGTGGGACAGATATGAAGAGTTTGTGGGGCTCATTGAAGTGCGAGAGGCCCAGGGAAACGTGACTGAGGTGAGGAGGAAGCTGGGGATATTGGACCTGCCATTGACCTGGGAAATGGGCTTACTGACCCAAGCCAAGCCAGTCACCAGTCGTGTGGTGCTGATAACTCATCCAGACATGCCTTTTCTTAAACAAATATCACTTGATGGATGGGACTCCACCTCACGTAGAAACCTGGGTCTTATACTACTGGTGTGAAAGTCTGTGTAACTGTATCTACAACTCTTTCTCAAAATAGTCACTGTGTATCAGCAAGTCCCTAGCCCTAACACTATTGTGCTGGTAAATACTCCTTTATAGCCTGGGCTGAGGGAGGGGTGGTAAAGGCCCTGAGAGTTGCTGCCTTACTGTGTGACAGAGGAGGACCCTGGAAAGCATCAGACTAGGAGAAAGAGCTGCCTGTGGTTAAGTGTTTTTTGGCAGTAGAAATGCATCCTGTCAAACTCTCTGCTCTTACTACTGCTTAGGCACAAAGCAGTGTAGTGAGGGAAGAAGATCCTGGGGGTTCTGCGGAGGGTTTGAACTGCGTGGTTGTCTTTCTTCTCAGACACTGAGCTTGGCTGACAGGGGCGGGGGTAGGGAGCAGGGGTGTCCAGGTCTATAAACCATAGCAATGCCTTTGATGGTGTTGTAAAGCATAAGGAAGGCCACACTCGGGAACTAGTGTAAGCACATGGCTACTTTCCTATGGTTATATCAGACAGAAGTTGGCTGGCTTTAGTGAATACAGATTGTATGTATTGTTGGCTGTTTTCAAGTTTCTCAGGGGCATGTTATTTCTGCTTGAATGGACAAATCCCGGCTTCAGTGGGCGTGGCCATGGGCTACACTCTGAGCAATCCTGAGTGAGCCAGGATTAGTGTCTAAGGGACTGGTTCTGCTCTTTGCAGCTGACACCCCACTGACCTTTTCTTTCTTTTTCTTTTTTTTTCCGAACCGGGGATTGAACTCAGGCCCATGTGCTTGCCAGGGAGGCGCTTATTCCACTGAGCCATCTCCTCGGCCCCACTGACCTTTTTTTAACTACTACCTTTTTGGGAACAGCTGGGCTGTGTGGGTATGGTCAGAAGGATCTGACAGCCATTGCCATCCTCTTTACAGGCAGAGAAAGTGTTCATGGTGGCTCGTGGGCTTGTCCGAGAGGCTCGAGAGGGTCTGGAAGTTCAACAGGCCAAGCTGAAGGAGGTGAGGGACCGCTTGGACCGTGTCTCCAGGGAGGACAGCCAGTACCTGGAGCTGGCTACTCTGGAGCACAGGATGCTGCAGGTAGGCCTGTTGGGAGGCAACCCTTTGTCCCCTGAACAGGGCCCCTAGCCTGGCCACGTTGGAACCCTGAAGGCCTGGCAGTAAGAGAGAGGCCTGGTGAGCAGATAAGGTAGAAAACTCCTATGGATGGATGGGACCCCTGGCTTCCACAGCCTGAGTACCCCTCAGGTTGAGCATCTCGGACCTACATTATGAGCTGGCCTACCTAGCAGTGGACACAATTTCTTGTAGACACCTTCTGAGAATGTCCGCACATGCCCAGCCTACCCAGGACTGCCTGGCGGGAAGATGAAACTGTTCATTCCGGCACTCCCGTTCCTCTAGTGTGTGCTACCTTTATCTGTGCAGTAGATGTTGGTAGAGCCAAGGTCAGGGGAATGGCTTACATGCTTGTGGCTGCAGCCCTGGGACTCTTTGCTGCTGTGTGATACTGCTTTGCTTCCACAGGAGGAGAAGAGGCTCCGAGCAGCCTACATGCATGCAGAAGACTCTGAACGTGAGAAGTTCTCTCTCTTCTCCGCAGCAGTGAGGGAGAGTCATGAGAAGGAGCGTGCAAGAGCTGAAAGGACTAAGAACTGGTCCCTCATTGGGTCAGTCCTGGGGGCTCTGATTGGTGTGGCTGGCTCTACCTATGTGAATCGTGTACGGCTACAGGAGCTGAAGGCCTTACTCTTAGAGGCACAGAAGGGGCCTGTGAGTCTGCAGGAGGCCATCCACGAACAGGCAGCTAGCTACTCCCTCCAGCAGAGGGACCTCCGTGACCTCATCATGGACCTGAAGGGGCTGGTGCATGCTGGGCAGGGCCAGGGCTCTGGATCACCAGCAGGTATTTCCCCGACCAGAGAGAAAGACATAGATATCCTTTCATCTGCTTTACAAGAGCTGCTTGCAAATTCCCAGCAGGTCCATTCCTGTCTAGAAGGTTTACGAGAGCGGCTTGATGTTCTGGATAAGACCGGCAGCCAAATAGTTGAAGTGATTCAGCTTGCAGAGGCCGCAGCACACCCAGGCCTGGGAGAGGCAACAGACGGAACTCTGCCTAGCTCCTTGCTGGCACAGGGGAGTATGATGTTGGCCCTGTCCAACACAGAACAGAGGCTAGAAGCCCAAGTGAACAGGAACACCATCTACAGCACACTGGTCACTTGTGTGTCATTTGTGGCCGTGCTGCCTGTGCTCTACATGCTGTTCAAGGCAAGCTAGCCCTTTGGACCTGCTTCCACAGGGCCTATGGGGTGAGAGCAGCTTTCGTTGGTGAATCCCAGCAGTGAAGTGACTCCTGGGGTGTACATAGCCTTCGTACCATTCCTGTGGCTCATGAGGCAAACTGCTTTGTAGGCAATGCTTATTCATCCTAATTATCAAAACTTTATGCTCATGTTTATTAAAATGTTTTCGAGTTTATATTCTTTAAAATAAGTTATGCGAGACTGAGGTTTTGCCCATTGATATTTTTGTTTGTTTGTTTGTTTGTTTGTGGGTATTTGGAATCAAACTCAGGACCTCATGTTTGCCAGGCAGGCTTTGTGCCCCTGAGCTGTATCACTGGCCCCTTGAGTTTTGTCCATTGAAAACAGATTTGGGACTGAAGAGTTGGGCCTAGAGTGAGGGAAATCGCCCCCTCTAGTTCTCTAGTTCCTCTCTCACCCTGTCTATACTATGTTGGGAGCCGGTTTAGATATGCTCACTCCTGAGACTGAATTTTTGTTTTGAATTTCCTGGCCTACCCTCTGCTTTCAGACTTTTCTGTCAGATGGCCCAGGGAATCCAGGGAATGGAACTAGCTTGCTGTTTTGCTTTTGTGCCATGGGGGGTGGGTGTCAGGGGAGAACCTCCTGTTTCTGACACTGGAGAAGTGATCAGAGGAGAACAGGGAAGAGATTGGAGGAATGGCTGACAGATGTTACTGGGGGCATCACAGAGATTGTTGGTCTGTTTGGGTCCCAGGTGCAGCGTGCTTCGGGCAGTACACTGCGAGTCCCACACCCACCCTGGGAAGAACCCACCATGGGGGCAGTAAATCTTAAGTCAGCAGTGAGAATGAAGAAGCAGTTAAGTTTGGGAGGTGCTCCCAAAGGTTGGAGGGTGCAATGAGGCATGCAGAACTGCCTTGAAAAATCCTCATTCCCTTTTCATAGTGGAACAGTGACCTTTGACCCCTGTCTCAATAGCGTGGGTGGCCTTGTGTAAACAGCAGCTGTGGAGTGGTACTTTGTCCTTGCCTTGGAGGTCTGGCACACGGAGAAGCCCACTAGACCCTTTCAGGGTGCACTGCAGCTGCAGTAATGTATGTGGGATGGGGGTCGGTTGGTCTGTGCCTGTGCAAAGCCAACTCTTCCACAGAAGCCCATGGAGCCAGAGTATTTTCTGAATGTGCTCTTCTCTGGCAGCCAGAGGTCAGTGCTGAGCAGCAAGTGTGGCCCACATGCTCCCCTGGTTTCTCTGACCCTCTGAACACCCAGGCTTTAGGTCACTCCATCTGGGCACATAGAGGTTCCCCACAATAGCACGGGATGGAGAAAGTGCATGTAAGAGTTCAGCTAGGCATGGTGACCCATGACTAATCTCAGCACTCAGAGGCTGAGGCAGGAGGATCACTACAGGATCTAGGCCAGCCTGGGATACAAAGTGAGTTCAAGGCCTGCCTGAACTATGTAGTAAAACTGTCTCAAAAAGACCAAAAAAAAAAAAAAAAAAAAAAAGCTCATACCCATGGGTCTCGGGGAGGGCTGTGGGGTGAGTGCAAGTCCCTTGGCTTCAAGTAGGTCCTGAAGGGTGTGCTTGTGATCGGATTTGAGAAAAAGACAATTCTAAGCACACAAAACTGGGCTCCTACAAGCTGTAGCGGCAGGAAAGCCAAAGGGAATTGTGGTGGACTACCCTGGCTGAGCTGGGGATGGGTGTGTGGGTGTGGAGTATGAGGTTAGAGAAAAGGGCAGAGGAGCCACTGTGCCAGTTTGGCAATCTCAGCGGTCAGAGGCCAGCGATGAAGGAACTGGGAGGGCTTGCCATGCTGATGCCAACAAGGTGCCTGGACTCAGGTGCGGAGATGCAGGTGGGGAAGAGGAATCTGAAAGGCAAACAAATGGAGACCCATGAAGGATTAGGGAGAGGAGTCTGTGGTGTTAATTTAGGACAGTAGCTAGTGTGGAACACTGGCCTCTCCGGCTTGGGGAGCCCCTGGAGGTTCTAGGTGGTGGTGGTGGGGTGTTCGTGTGTGTATGAGGGGCTGATTTTGTCTCCCGGGAATCTGTGCCAATGGCCGTGAGCCAAAACCCTTCCGAAGTCCTCAGGGTGGGCCAGATGGACTTCTGGAGAGAACCTTGGAGTCCAGTTTCCTCCCCAGGAAGGCTCAGGAGTTTGTGGTGAGGAAGTCTAGACTTGCCCACAGCGTTTCAGCTCCGGGTGGGTCCCTGTGCGCCCAGGACAAGCGGCAGGAAATGAGCCCCTGCTGGTGTATCTTGGCAGCCCGGCTAAGGGTGGTATCACCCCACCTGCCAGTGAGCAAACAGGCCAGGGAGGGGAGTGTCGGGTTACACGGCTTTGGAATGGCGCACACCCAGGTCCCAAGCCCGGGCTCCCCTCAGACAGTAAGGGGTGGGGGCCGGAAGGAGAGGCTGGCTAATGGGGAGTCCCTGGGAGAAGGCGCGGTGGGCAGGGCCAGGTGTGGAGAGGAGAGGGCGGCGGAATCCGAGGAGCTCAGGTAAGGAGAGTGGAGGAGCGGCTTGGAGAGACTGGCCCTGCTGGAGGGAGCTGCCGCCGGGGCGGGGCAGTGGACGCTGGCGGAGTGGCCGGGCAGGTGCGGCCCGTGCACCCCGCACCTGGAGTGTGCGGCGCAGGTGGGGAGCCTTCAGCTCCGCGCCGCCTTTGGGGCCGTCCCGCGGGAGGCCTTGCCTCGCCGCGTCCCCCCACCCCCTCCGCCCCGACCAAGGTCCCCGGGGCTCGAGGCCGCGCGCCCGCTTGCTCCGCGCGCTTCCGGCCAGTCCCGTGGCGGGGAGGGCGGCCGGCGGGGGGCAGGCGCGGAGCCCGGCCGCGACGCGCTTTGTCTCCTTTGTTCCCGGCGGTGGCAGCGCCGCGGCAGGAGGGGCGGGCGCGGGCGCGGTTTTCCGCCCTCGGTCTCCGGGTAACAGCTGTGGTCCGCCAGAGCCTCCGGGAGGCCGCGGCGCACGGAGCCCGAGGAGCAGCCGAGGTGAGCAGGCCGGGCGGGCAGGCTGGGGCGGCCCGGCCCGGAGTCGGGACCGCACGGTGCGCGCCAGGCAAACTCTGGCGGCTCCGCCCGGACCGCGATTGGGAGACGGAGGAGGTGGAGCCGCTGCTCGCTCCCCTTCCTCGTCTCAGCCGCTGAGACCGGCCAGCCCCTTCCCCGCCCTCCGCGATGCCGGTGGGGTGCTCGGCCGGCGCGGGGTCGCCAGGCGTCGGCAAGGGCTGCGGGAGAGCCCTGGGGTCTCAACCCTTGCCGGCTGCGCTCCGTGGAACTGACAAAGACAGAGCAGACCGCGAGCCTCCTGGCACCCGGAGGGGTCCCATCGCCACGCACGGATCACTTGGCCGGCAACCGCTGAGCTCCTCGGGTCGTCGCGGGTGCCTTGGAAACGGGCTCCCTCCACCCTGCTCAGTGCGCAGGCAGTAGGTTAGGCAGTGTGCACCCGGCACTATCAATGAGTAACCCGCCGCAGCAGAGGGCCTTGGGAGTGGGGCAGGAGGAGAGGCAGGGAGGCCACTTTCCTTCCCACCGGCTTCCAGGAGAGGTGCAGGTGTGTAAAAGCCAGTTTGTGAGTCTCTTCAGTTGTGGAGGATAGCGTCAGGAGGGTCGGTTGGTGCTTGCTGTCTGCAGGAATCAGGCGGTTGTGGGCACTGCTGAAGAAGCTCAGAGAGAAGATTGGCCCGGGACCGGCCCACCCGGCAGGCCTGGGCATGGGCAGAGTTAGAATTGGGCTTTGGCGGTGAGCCTGGGCAGGGCCTGAGATGTGGGGAGGTGGCAGGAGGTCCTGGCTGTGCAAGTCTGGAGAGGCATGGCTCCAAATCAGCCTTTTTGGTCTCTAGTCTGGTCGTTCACAAGCGGTGGGGTAAGGCCTTTCCCATGAGAGGCCAAGTGGGCCAGGCATGTGAAATGGGGGCACGTTCACTATGAGGGGAGTACATGCTCTGTGCTGATGTCTGGCAGTTGCTGGGCCTCTGAGTTAAGAGCCATACTCCCTGCCTTTAAAGAAGTTTGCGTCCAGACTGGGAGGATGAAAAAGGCTCTTCCCAAATGGTCTTGGGTGGTACCATTAATGTCAACACACTCTGCTGGCAGGGCAGTATGTACCAGTCCTGTGGCTAGGTGTGTCTGTTCCATCCACTACACAGGTGACCCCCGGAGCAAGGGAGGATGGGAAGGGTTCCCAGTGAGGACATGGCTGGGTGCCGGGCTTAACAGGGTCGACCTGGAATGGACATTCCAGGCAGTGGGAACAGCCCTTGCTTGTGATGGCAGGGAGGAGTGGAACAGGAACGAAAAGCATGCATGTGGGAGGATGTGGACCAGAGGGCCTGACCTTTATTCTTCAAGCCCGGGGGACCCCAAAGCCCCAAGAGGAGGGATGTATTTCATTTCTGTTCAAGGAAAATAGGGAGAGGAGGTGTGTGTGTGTGTGTGTGTGTGTGTGTGTATTGGATAGCGAGGGGGCTGCTTTGTGAAATGGCAGGGGTTAAATGAGATACATGTGTCCAGTACGAGGAGAAAACATCACTGTTCTTTGGACTCCTCTTGCCCATGCTAGGGCAAAAGGAAGGAGTGCTAGGTTGAGCTTCACGGAGGACTGTAGTTGAAGAAGCCTGGCATAATTCCCTGGAGCAGGTCAGCCTCTGACTTCCTGTGTGCCCTGGCCAGGAGCTGTTTCAGTCCTGAACATTTCTTCCCTTGGGTCCCTCAACCCAGCTGTGATTTCACATTCAGCGAGTGGTTTTGTTGCTGCCCCTTGAGGGCTGGAGAACCTTGGCATGCAGTAGGCTTTGAGCAAATATTTGCAAGCAAATTAAACAGTGAATGTTGGTCTGACTATGGGACCCTATGCCCAAGGCACATCCCTGGCCTGAGGGGGCAGGAGAAGTGGGCAGTAGCCAAGTGGAGGAGATGGCCTCTGCCTATCCTCTGGTGGATCTTGTATTCCCAGAGGAAGAAGCTTTCTTCAGTTCTTGGAAACAAGGTGGGGGGCTCCTGGGCAGCCTGGCTTTGCCACAGTCCTGGGCTTCTGGCTGGGTTCGAGACTTTCCCTGACACCTCCTTCCTCCCACCCCCTTGGTGGCAAACAGAGACAGCCTTGTTCCTGCTCCCATAGAGCTGCCCTGTTCTCTGCACACTAAAAATGGAAACCCCCAAGCTATTTTGGGAGCAGTGCCCAGCCAGGCTGTGGCCACGGGCCCCTGTTCCA